CCAAGGTAATTGTATTTAACTTGTATTTTAGTCTACCACTACCAACAAATACCATTGATAAAAATATTTATACAATACTAACAATTCTCCAAGGAAACGCGACCATGTTCACAAAAAACATCTATCTTTTTAGCTACGGCGACTCATAGAATGACTAGAGTTTTTAAAAGTACAAACTTTTAGCTCATAGCTCCGTCTTCTCTAGACCGATTTGAGATCTAATTTCAGTTTTGCAATCAGGAGGTCAAACCCTTTTGATTGATACAATTGACCACGCTCAAGGTCTCATAGTTAAATTTACCCTAGTCCTGTCTAAAAGAATTTCAACTTGAGGGTAGGCTGGTAGAGATTCTGATGAGTAATAAAATCGAATCGGGTATACGCGCGCCCCACGATTGGTATTTCTGATGCATAAAAATATAGCTAATATAAAAAAGGGACAAAAGGTCTCATAGATTAATTTAATCCTGAATATAAGCATTTTAAGTGCCGCGGCTACAGTCCACTACACTAAACACTGAACCACGATCAGCCCAGAGCCAGTGTAACAAGATGGATACAACATAAACAAATTGTTCTTTGCAAACTTCTGAGTTACTGGCTAAACAAAATTGTTCACAGGTTTATTTTATTGAGATCAGTGGGATGCCTCACAAAGATAAGCCAACAATGAGAGGACTTCTTAAAAAATTCAGTTTAAAATGTGTTTTCTACGTGTTTCTACTTCACCACGTTTTTTGGAGAGACCAGTAAAGTCTCTTTCATGCTTCCTCATAATTATATCACTATGCCTAGTACATTGGCAAAGCTAGAAAGTGCGCAGACTATGCTTCTTTCCATGCAGACTAAGGTTAGCCAAAAAGGAAGCGAGTTTATGTAAAAATGGGGAATTGAAGAATCACTTACTAAACAATGTGAGAACTAAATCGATATGCTACACTAATTCAGTGTACAATTGTCATTGTATGTTGTCAAATATGATTTTTGTATTTATACCACCATATTCCAATGATTCCTGGGCCAATTTTTTAGTAAATTACTACAGTGGAAAATGTCTCACCTGATTTATACATGATTCAATGTTACATTACATGCAGCAGTCTTTATGAAATTTGAAGTTTTACATAAACTTTCAAAAACAGAAACACCAACCAATTGCCTAAAGTTGTGTAAAAACAATTAGATAAATATTAACACAAATGTACTAAAGGGTTTGTTTAGTGCTACAGAAGCATCTTTCAAGGTTTCTCTACATATACATACAAAATAATAATTTAAGGACAACAAAGGACCTGTTGGTCCACCTAGGCCATCCCATCTATTAACATTTAAAATAAAAATAAAACACTCAAAACCAGCCCATATTACTCAAATATTTATCAAGCCTTTCCTAAAACGCCATTAAATTGGCTGCATTCAACACATTTGAAAGCAGCCCACTCCAAAGACCATCCACCCTTTTAGAAAAATAACGCTGTCTTAGCTGAAAATGATTCCTACCCTGCCAAAAGTGTATTTGTCTCCCATAGTAATACTAATTCTCACCATTAAGTATGAAAAAAGATGATGTATCAACATTATCAATTCCTTTAACAATCTTAAACACCTCAATCACATCCCCCTCTAATTTTTTCAAGATAATACCATTTCAGAGATCTGAAGTGACAACTTTTCCATCCCAGGCTTTAGCCTAGTAGCCCTTCTCTGAACCATTTCCAACAATTCAATGTCCTTCCTAAGATAAGAAACCTAAGACTAAACACAATACTATAAATGTGATCTAACCAATGAAACTATAACCTCTTTTATTCAATATTTCTGCGCACATAACCAAAAATCCTATTTGCTCTGCCACTAGCAACAGCACATTGGTTGGATGGCTCAAGAGACAAACAAACCAAACACCAAGACCCTTTTCTTACATAACACTGTTGAGGTTATTCCAAACAAAATTATACTCATAATTCAAATTATGATATCACACATACACAGTCATGCACTTATTATAAACCATCTGCCATTTATTAGCCTAACTTACTATGTAATCAAACTCCTTTTGAAAAGCAGCAGCATCTTATTCACTGCCAGCAAAACCCAAAACCTTAATATCATCAGTAATTTTAAATAATTTATTGACCATCTTTCATCTATATCATTGATGTAAATCAAAAAGAGCAAAGGTCCTAAGAATGAGCCCTAAGGTACCCATTTGTGTACATATGTGTAAACTTTGTTTTTGAAATGCTGCACACTTGTATATCAAATACATTTTTATAATATATCTAAAATATCAAACTAATTCATTGAAATGACTACTGTTTCTAACATAATAACCCTCATACAGATCGCACCAAGAGCTTCTATAATAAAATGGCACAGAACAAATACATGAAGTCTATTGTATAACGCAACTCATTTTGCAAAAAAAATATTCAAAGTTGTGCACAAGAATACTGACAATAAATTGAACAAGTGTATATGATCATTAATGTTACAATTTACAGACGGTTAATCAAAATATTCAAAATAAGAGTTAAACTTTGTGCTGTATCTTTTATAAATTTAAGTAATAACAATCAAGTAAACTGCAAGCTGTAATGATCTTGTGGTTTAGTTAAAAAGTCTAGAAGTTTTGAATTTCAAAATATGAAACAAATATTACCATATACATTGCAGCTAAAATTGAAATTGTAGATCAGTTAGTAGTTATACAATATAAAGGAAATCGTGTTGGCAATTTTACTTCATGTAAATCTGTTTTTCAACCTTTTAAAGTAAAAGATTCAACCAACTCCTGACAACTTTTTTCTAAGCCATTAAAATTGTGATTTGATATTTTGAAGGAAAGACTTACATATTCATATTTACAACCGATGCAAAAACTATCATTATACAAAAAGGTGTTCCAAATGTGTCATCCTAGATATTGTACAAGCTAATAAATTAAGTATCCTACAGAGTTGTTAATGTAACAGTTCGTGTGAAAATTTCATTGGTAAAAACATTTCCAAACATATTAGTATTTGATAAAATAAGTTTAGAATATAATATGAAATGACAATAATAAATATCTGTAGAAAATATTTCCTGTTATGATGGCACACGCTTATTATCATTAGGAGATTAGTATAATTTGATAATACATTGGACTCATTAACCAATTACATTTAAGTAATCAATTATTCTCTCGTATGAGGCTTCGATAGTTGAAATAATCGGAAACACTAACTTCAATTAGTTGGATATTTTTGTGAATTGTGACATTAATTAAGCTGAACATTCTTGAATTAGCCAAAAATAATAATAATCATGACTTTAATAATCAGAAATACTAACTTCAATTAGTTGGATATTTTTGTGATAATAAGCAAGTTAATTATAATTTCATTAATCAATAATTTTACATGACACTAATCAATATAACTGATGCTCATACATAATAGATCATATCAAGTTAATTGCCCAACTCTGATGAATATTAGGATTAGGACAATACTTATGAAAGTTTTAATACAGATGTATTAAATAAATAAAGTCAATGTTTAAAAGTACATAATAAATCTAAAATGAGGCTATCCTCTGATGTCTGGATAAGTAAAAATAAGGGTAAATTGGAGACTGCTATTTACCAAAAACTATTCTCGGTAATCACCCCACCCCAATATCAAAAATCATATCACACTAGTTCTCAAAAAATCACTTTTGTATTTTTATTCTCATGTGGATAGAATTTCAAAATTATTTGGTAAACAGGTAGATATGAACAACAAGTTATTATTAATCAAGTATGTAGCAGTAGAAAAAAAGTTTTAATCCCAATATTGTTGACAGAGATGTCAAGAAATTAAAAAACAGAGATAAAAACATTATGCTAAACCAAGTGCCGAAAATGTATAATTTTTCCTATACTGAAAATGTATTTCCAATAAGTACTTACCTCTCCTCACAAATATAACTATTCTCATTCAGTGCTGCCCTTTATATGCAAAAATGTTTTTACATGCCACAAGCCTTGAGCTCCTACGTACTCCATGATCAACATGGTTCAACTGCATCTTATATGTAAATCATCATGCGACAACCCTCCACCAATAGGAGTGCAACACAACCTTCTGACGCATGGGACTCCCTCTATTTAATTCTATCGAACTATCACTTCGAATTTTGATAGAAAATGGAAGCATAATTTTCATTGGGGAGGAAGGGTGGGAAGTGTGAGGAGAGGCAAGTACCTGTCGGAAATACATCTTTAGTATAGGAAAATTATAACTTCCAACGGAGTAACTTAACTCCACTCACAAATATAGCTAGAATCCCATACTGAATAGGTAGAGGTGAATTTAAAAAAACAGAATAAAGGAACACAAAAGAAATATTCGAAATAATAATACAAAGATCTCGCATGTAGCTGAACATACTAATGAAACTAAATTGAAACTAAACACTTAATTCAATAAGAAAAAAAACTGTTATTTCAACACAACCTGCAAACCTCAATGGTAATAACATCTCTGAATCTATTTAGATAATCAAATGTACTAAATAAGATGAAGGACCACAGGGAAATGTTAATAGGTGGCATGAAATTCTTTAAGTTGAATTGAAAGTAAATTTGATCATGTGATTTTTGAAATTGTATATAGGTCTTAACTCTTGCCAAATATTGCACTCAGGATGATGACGCAGCAAGACATCAAAATATGTAGTATGTGTATGACACTCTTCCCAATCTCACAGTATTATAGAATTATCTTCATACAGTAAAATGATCAACTAAAACAATTTCTTTATGGTATTTTGAGACAGACTCATTTTAATTTTATTGTGTACTATTAAACATTGACTATTTCTTTAATACAACTGTGTGAATACTTTCATATGTTTTAAACTTGACATAAAATAGAAAATCTGAATAATGTGCAGCTAGTATTTCCATAACAAGGAAGAGTACCTTAAGTTCAATCAGCAATACTACATTTGCAAACTGTCTTCAATCTTACCTCGATCAAACTTTCTGCCTTCTGGGTCAATATCCTTGACGTCAAAAATATCTTCAAACAAAACCCCTGCCATTTTACTAAACTGAGAACCTAATGGGAATAAACAAGCAAAGTTAATTATATAAAACTAAAAATAATTCTAACGCCTAAGTTATTATCAGTATTCTAGTAAGTGAAATCATACCTTGAATCAAGAATATGAGATTTTATTCACTAGCTTTCATTAGAAAACCCATTATAAAAACCCATTATTTTGTATATACGCTACAAAAAATACATTACATTTTTAATCATGTTATTAAAGAATTATAACAAATTAATTTCATAAGACATTAATGATTTTCATCACTTCTCAATAACATGTTCTTCAAAATGTAGTATTTAGGATTTTAGAAACATGGTAATGATTAAAAATTACCATGATAATGATTAAAAATTACCAGTCAGCTCAAAAATATCAGATTCTAAGTTAAAGTACCATTAAAAAGGCAAATTTAAGTGAGATCATGAGGTTTCTCTTAGTATTGTTTTTAAGTAGTAGTACTGGGTTATTATATACTAAAATCACTAAATATTAGATTAAAAGAAATTATCAGAAACGATAGTTAAGTATGAAGGAATTTATCTTAAGAGTTGAAAGAATACATTAATAGTCTTTATATTAGCAATTATATGTAAGTAGAGACCTAGTTTATATTGTAGTTGTGGTACTAGTAAGTAGCAGTAGCAGTGCTAATTGATAGGGGATATTACTAGTAGATTAAAGTATAAACATTTAATCTCCCTTTTGACTTTCTTCAGCTACCAGTTCAGCATACAGCAGATCAATTACACCTCACCATAAAGGTTTTACTTCTCATCTCCTGCATTACATGCACAGTTTACACTTTTATGCATTATAACTGATATTGTGGTAAGAAATGTTAAGATAATATTCAATAAGCTGTGTGATTTGGACACACCAAGTTCACATTTGCTATATTTTGTGATACTGTTAACAAATTTTACTTTCCACAGATATTTTCACCTCATTCACTCACATATCAGTGCAATTCAACTGATATAGTTCTGATCAACACTTGCAAAATATAGATAAAGCTAGGTTCTGTAAATGTGGCATGAGCTTAACCATTACTCTTGCCTATTTCCATAAAATTCACTGCCTGCCAAATGATTCAATGTCAAAACAGAAATATTTACATCCTGGCAATAATGAAAACAAGAGATTTGCTGTTTATTTAAATAATACTGTGTAAACAAACATCGACAATTAACTTCATACATGAAGTCTTAACTTCCTGATCAGATTCTTATATTATCATTCAATAGTTGTAAGTAATTGATTCATTTTGTATTGGACAACATTCATGAATGACTTTATTAAAGTCACACTTTGTACACATATAATCAGAAAATTAATATTTACATAAATGTAAGTCTCCAACTGTCATACAATGCCACCTACTCTAGTAGTTTTTGACACACCACACTAAGCATACGGTCACTACCAAATCCACCAACTCTATCTACTTCCATAAACTATGAGTCAGTAGTTACAGTTCAGCAATGTGCTGCCTCTACAAGTGGTACAAATCACAATGTTCATGGAAGATATAACTGTTGGCAGAATTGAGCTTAAACAGACTATTCAACTGACATTCTTCACCAGAATTAACAATTATCCTGTCACTACCTTGTATATCAATACTCACTCTAACTAACTTTGCATAAATACAATTATCTACAGTGAATATGCCTTCATTGTTCTGAACAGCTGACATCATGACACTGTACCACCTCAAGCAAGTTAACCTACTCATGTCAGTTGGCATCAGAGATAATACAGGTACTATCAATGAAGTAAGACCTTTTCCGTTGAAATTCACAGTATCCCAATCCACTTTGTATTAATAAAGAACACAACTCTTTCACTGCACATGTAGGAGTTATACACAGTGAATATGCCTTCATTGTTCTGAACAGCTGACATCATGACACTGTACCACCTCAAGCAAGTTAACCTACTCATGTCAGCTGGCATCAGAGATAATACAGGTACTATCAATGAAGTAAGACCTATTCCATTGAAATTCACAGTATCCCAATCCACTTTGTATTAATAAAGAACACAACTCTCTCACTGCACATGTAGGAGTTATACACAGTGAAGTGTAAAATGTCACATTTTATATTAGAATTTACCCGGTTAGTTTGGAAGAACCACTGCTACTCTGGTAAGAAACGTTAGTCTGCATTTATAGCAATGGAAAATAGTTCAATAAATCAGAAAGCAACAGTTCAAAATTTCTTTAAGTCACTGGTTTCTCTATCAAATGACCATCCTAGCTGGCTTGTTAACTCAACCAAGTAATCAAAAGGTTGTCATTTTCAACAAGGCCAATCACTGCAACCACCTCTTTATCAACCACTTGATCAAATTAAGCATTGAACCATACAAATTACGCATCAAGCATAGCACTGCTATTTTTGAATCTGCTTACTTTAGACTATGACCTGTCTGAAATATTCTAGAATGTGGCCTAACCTTTCTCTAGCTAAGTTATTATACACTGGAAGTGGAATCTGTTTCAGCACCACCACAGGCTCATATAATTTTGATGCAGATCTCTCCCCAATGGACCCGCAGTTCACCCCAGACTGGACAGTTCCCTATGATGTGGATGGCATTTTGTAGGCAAGAGGTCAAAGCTTTACACTCAGCCAAGTGCTAGCCCATGATTCTGGGGTCATGGGACTACTGATTACAAGGAGTAGTTTACCTGTTAGTCCTGCATGGCCACAAGTTGCTACAAGAACTATGGTGGCCTTGGCAATTTTCCTCCCACCTCACAGAAGATCTCTGCTGCCTTCACATATCCTTGTCTTCAACTCCACATGCTCATTGCATCACCTACCAGCGATGCAGATTCAGTTGATATAATTCATCCACCATTGGCATCTCACTGATTTCAAGTTGAGCAACAGGGCACCTCCCTTGATGGAGAGGTTCTCCAGTGCTCCACCAATGGCAGTTCTCTTTCTCCAGTGAGTGGCTTCAAATAAAGCTGGGGCTCAACTTTTCTAATCAAAATACTCCTGGGTCCTGTATAAAACAACCCATTCAGTCTCAGACACTAAGATGGATGCTACTATAAGAATCTTCAGTCATCTGCACTCTACTATTATCTGGGCTTAATCTAAAAGGAAGAACTTCATCAGGTTTACTGGATGCTCCAGATGGGCCTCATTCCAAAGTCCTGATCTTGAAGCTGCAGGGTGATGGCCTTCAAGTGTCTCCAGTGGAAAAAAAAAAAAGAACAAGATCCAGGAGACATCTTCCTCCAAATATAGCCATCCATCCTGGAAGTTCCCTGTGTAGGCTTCAGACTCATTCCCATAATTCTGTGAAGAAAACCATCTCCACACATCCACAGACTTAGGAGTATTCACTGAAAGGTTCAAAAGTCCAGTTGTTCACACACTCACAGACCTACACAATAACAGTATCCTTGATGATGTCCCAAAAGTTTTTCTTTCCCACTACTCTGTGGTACTCCTCAGTAAATGGATTTCCCACAAAGTAGTCAGTTAGGGCCTGCTCATTGGAGGTTCAAAAGATACCAAGTTATTGAGTGTGCATTTAATTCTCTCTTCACATTCAGTCTGAGTTTGTTTGGAAAAAAAAGAGTTGAAACACGATAGACGCACAACCACCTTATTAACACATAAACATAATCACAACTACTAATTAAAGACACTACAACAAAACAGGAGCAAATGGGTCCATGGAGAGCATTTTGGACTGACAGGAAAAAAGTGAAACCTTTGTGAGCTAATTCTTTCTCACTAGTGCAGGGTGTGTCACCCACCCCTAAAAAAAAGTTAAAAAAACTAAAGTAAAAACTAACCCAAAGTTAAAATATAAAACTAAGCAAACTCTTTAAAAGTTCAATATAAGTCACATTATATACAAAATTCAAATCAAGAAGTTAAATTAAAATCTCCAAGTCTGGGGAGGGGGCAGGCTCCAGCCTAATGTGGGGTGGGAATTCAACTTGTACTTTCATTTGACAACTTAGCATAATTTATTTTTCACTTTCCTACAAAAAAGTGTAGGGATGTTCTAACACATCCAACTCTATGCATAAACTCACAGTCACAAACAACTTGAACAAGCATCCAACTTTTTAAATTTAAAAGAAACATTACTGTGCTGGACAAGTAACAATTTTACGTTTAATGTAATCTTAAAATTAAACTGCTACCCATAACTCTGGAAAATTACATTCCAATATTTTAATTGTTTATCATTCTTTTTACTCCTATCTGACAAGTACTCACTCACTCGAGATTTCACATGGTCTAATAAAAAATTATATAATTGGCTATTAGTATTAATTTTATCATACTCGTACATGACAGTCATGAACATGGACTTTTAAGTTATATTTTTAAACATACACAACTGTTGTGTATACACATTAGTTACTCCTATTTTAAAAATTAAATAATAATAATGAGAATCAGCAAAATTGTTGACTGCTGAAATATAAATATAATTGTAACTTAAGGCCAAGTGTTACGTTAGAGAAAAGCATTAGATTATAATTTATACTCTTCGTATTACTAGAAGCATGGGTGCCCACAGGAATGGGATTTTCAAAAAAGAAAAATTTACTAGATATGTAAAATTATTCTTCTATGTTATTGGAAAATCATAAGGTATTTGTAATTCGATTTCACAATTTTTTCAAACTTGAGTTACTTGACCCCTAATTTTTTTTCTGCGGGCGCCCTTGACTAGTACTAGTAATAGTAGTAATTCAGTAATTGGTTTGGGAGCTAGCCAGAGTCGAGACGATACCCATATACTATTATACTTATAGTAGTGATAGCGATAGTAATATTACTATATATACATATTTTTTATTTAAGTACATTAACAGATATTGGTGCGTTAAGAATGAGTTTTTAACGGTAGTTTACAGTTACTAGCTAATCACGCTGTAATTAAATTAAGTAAAAACATACTGAAATACGTCACAAACTAACAAAGTTAGTACCCTAAGTAACAAACGGCTTACAAATTCAGCGATTAAATCACTATCCAAGAACCATGCCACAGACCTAACTTCGTTTTAAGTTTAGTGGAGTAGCGGTAGCCGAGAGCGCCCTCTGCCAAAATACAAGTTATCAGTATTAAAACGACAATTAATAAAAGAATAATAATTTTATTGTATTTAAATAAAACTGCGGAATATTAAAATAATCTAATTAACATAACAGATAATAACCAAATAACTGGTCGAACGGTCAGAATATGCATTAATGAATTAAATCTAAAAATTGTACTTGTCTTAACTTAAATTAAAAACGCGATACAATGTTGAATAAAATAAAATAAAATCATATTTATATATATAGTGTTTTGAAGTGTGTGTGTGTGTTTTCTTTTAGCAAAGCCACATCGTGATATCTGCGTGTCCACCGAGGGGAATAGAGACCCTGATTTTAGCATTGTACATCCGAAGACTTACCGCTGTCCTACCGGGGGACGTTTGAATGTCTTTTACTCACAGAGTAATTCTATATTTATCAAATAATTTATAGAATGTACAGCATGGATGCTACTAGTTCATTCTTGTAAATTATTCAGCCAAGCTAGCTGTTTGAAATATTTTTGGAGCTCAAACTATCTTTCGATTTTACTCCACTGATACAACATAGAAATTAGTGGGTCCAGCATATGAAAATGTTACAGTAAACTGGCCAGTCGAGTAGACAAGGCAACCAGAACAGTTAAGAGCTTGATATTTTAAGGAATTATGATAGTCAGGTAGATTTGTAGGTTTTAAAGTTATAATTTCTCATTTAGAATTTACTTTTGACCTAAAGTTGCTTTTAGACACACAGTGTCAAAACTATTACCTTGGTCAAGTGACATTTCTATAGGATTATGAGTTTGTTATATTAAAATGACTTTGAATGTATAAGTTAGAAAGTCACGTGACAATCATAGCTGATATAACGTCGTGGTGGAATGTAATATATAAGAACTACGTTTTGATACTGTTTAGCTCTCAAAGTTACTGTGATGCCACCAAAATGTTTCAATTTTGGAAAGGATATGTAATATCCCTTTCCAACACAAATATTCATAAATTCAGATGTTTTAAGATCATGGCATAGGTAAACAACGGAATATAGACCAATTTGAGGTTCCACATCCTTCCAGAAAGATATATTTGAAAAACTTGTACACCATTATTAATAAACAAAAAGCAACTCTTGTAACAAGTGAGAATCTACGAACACAAGAGTCATTTGCAAAAGCCGTTCACGTGTCCCACGTAATGCAGTCAAGAAAGATAAGTAACGCTAAACACATGTTGCTTTCAAGATACAACCATTCAACTTTTGCATGCCTTCAGCAGCTAGCACATACCAGTTACTTTGCCAGATGGAGCACCTATGCATTTCTGTGTAATCATACTGTTGCAATGAGTGCTGGGAAACTGTTGTCAGAAATAAATATTCCTTTACAGAAGAGTCGGAAGTCCTACTGACATACGAGATAACAAATAACTATACGTGGAATTTTAGGAAATCTATAAGTTAAATTATTTTAACGTTAAAAAGCCACGAATCCCTAAGCTAACGAAACTTGAATTTAGGATGTCAGAGTCACAATAGATGGCAGCACTGTTATGTTTTTAAATTATTGTCCAAGATGGTAAAAATATAATTGAGAGGGTTTAATAATAGGGAAAAAAAAAGATATATAATATATGTATAGGGTTAAGTAAGCAGTAATTTTAATTGAAAAAAAAAGGTCTTGCTGTATTGGCTAAGACCTGGGAATGAGAATGTTTTTCTCTGTTTTGTGTTTTAACCCAGGACGAAAATGGGCTGACTGGCAAGGCAAAAAGATACACCCAATCATTATATAAAAGCGCTCTTAAGATAGCTTTGCAGATCTGTCATTTACTTAGATGTATCTTTGGCCAAGACAGTCCCAAAACTACTGGTATACATTACCTTACTGTAAGCAGGTATTCAAAGCGTAACGTGAAAACGGAGCTGAATAAGTAAGTATATGTAATGTCTGTATATCTGCTGGTAACTTTCGGGACACTATTTTTGTCATTATATATAATGATGATGTCATTATATTGAAGTCTGGAATATTTCAAAGTGATCAAAGCCTAAAATAGTTTTTTTTTAATTATGACATAAGAATCAACAGGAGATGATATATGCTGGAACTATTACGGTATTAATTAAAATTACACCAGCCTAGTTTACCTTAAGCCACGCTTATCTCCAACTGGTATAGTACATTTCATATTATGAATCTATCTTGGTTGATTAAAAAACAAACAAAAAATATTTACGAATAAACTGGAAATGACACTCACATAGGCGTGAGTTCAACGAATTTTTTCATTATACTCAAATCTACTATACCTAATTAATATAGTTATTTTAGTGTATATAATCGACTAATGTTGACTCACGAAATTAAAGTGTTTCAGTACTTTTATATTGCGATGTGTTTTCAAAATATGCAATATATTTTTTGATTAATGCTTAATAATATAATCATATTGAAAATATATATTTATTATTTTTCGCGTTCGTTTCTAACTCTGTATTATCCGTTATCTTCAACGTAGCGCGATGGCGATTGGTTCAGTCCATTTGTCGTTTTTCTCACACCTGTTGAGTATGCGTATACTTGCTGTTACGCTGTTGTCTCAACTTATCTGTTGTTTACACATATGTTCTGTGGAAGATCCGTTTTATAAACGTTAGGTTTAAGTCTCCTAATGTTTTTTTTTTATTTAGTGGAACAAGAAGGTTTAGTGATATTAAGGTTACAGTGCGTAAAGACGCCAGTCGAGCCGTCTTTCTATGAATCAGTTAGTGTGTTACATACAATTTTCGCATAACCGAATATTTCAAGAATTAGTGTGAGCACAACGTGACGCACACCAAAGAAAGAAAAACCGTAACCCAAGCGTAAAAATTCGCAATTTCTTCTATGATGGGTTTTTCCATGTTTTCAGATAGTTCTGCCTGAAACACGTACTCTAGGAAATTAGGTCTTATCCAAATAATAATATGTACGAAGCTGTCAGTAGCAACAACAAACACATAGGCCTAACTCAAAGTGTTTGTAAGAATGGTACAGCTAACCTACCACAACGAAGTATTTCATCATGTACGACAAACTTAGCATTTTCACGCACTGGATCGATAGTAAAAGAAGCGTCAACATCAGAACACTGGATTGCTGTTAAGGGCCTGCATATATACAAAAGAGAAGAATGTAAGTATTGATGTTGTATCATAATTGCAAAGCATCAATAAACTTTGAAGTTAAATAACTTACCTTTTTCGCGAAATACGTTTTTTTTTGGAATAGTCAATAAACGAAAAGTATTTGTAGTAGTACTAACGACATTGTAGTGAATTTACATGTATTTCTAACGACTCGGGAAATAACATTATAGTTATACTGATTAGTCGCAAGGTGAACAAATAAAGAAAGATTAATGTGTGAAGTGTTGGAGTAAGAATGCAGTCATGTACTTTAAAAAAACATTCAAATTCGTTTGTAATATGTATACAACTTCATTGTAAGACTGTGTTAAAGATAGTGTAATGCATTACTTTTATTCTTCCCAGTGGAAAGGCTTTCGAAAGAGGAACTGAAGTTAGTGGTAACAAATTTGTCTGCAATGATAGAAGGTAAGTATTATTTTGAAGTATGCTATAGAAGGCTTAATGTTCGCTAGAAAGTTCTATCTGGGCCATAACGTGAGCTATTTCGTATTGTTTCCTGTCACTTTCTTTCTTTCTCAACCACATATTTGTGACCAGCTTCCATATATTTTTTGTTTGTTTGTTGTTAAAAACAAGGAAACACAATGGGCTATCTGTGCTCTCTGTCCACCGCGAATATCGAAACCCGATTTTTAGCGTTATAAGCCCTCAGACTTAACACTGAGTCATCGAGGAGTCTGTCATATGCTGACTTACTCTGTCAGACACACGACACTAGTTTCAGCACACATATGTTCAAATTTTACAATATCTAGGATAATCTTATTCCTCCGTTAAGGCATGATCATAGGCGTTACACATCAAAATCAGAACAGAACTTCTTCATGACAATATACCTATGTATATTGAAGATACATTAATTAAAACCTGTTATATTTTTATCATACTGCCAAGATTTTTCAGATATTCTAGCTACCAGTAATTAGCATTCTAGATTCGGTTGCTATCACCATGCACTGTCGTTGGAAGTCAAAATCGAGTATTTTATTGTTTTTTTCAACATTTATAATGCATACGTAAGGGATTTTGATAATAATATTAATAGAAAAAACGACTTTTACTCTTCACATAATAAAAAAAAAAAAATTCAGCCAACGTATCGCCATTTCGGCTTCATCAGGGCTAGTCATACGAAATGATCAAATGTGGTGTTTTAGCAAGCTCAGTTGATATATTGTGAGTTAATTGCCTATTTATCAACTCTGAGAAGTCACAGGCTAGTGATTTAAACACTTAATGAAAACCCTTCTTTTTGTTCTTTGCAACTGTAAAAGCAAAAATAGTTCCATGATTATATTACAGATTTAATTTCTCTAAAGATAAAAATTAAAAGTATAATCTGTGATGTAGACGCTTAATATATTCTTTGATTCGACATTTCATCTGCTGTGGACTGCAGTTTCGCTTATTCAAGGCTCATCTGCATAGCTTGGGTCAGCAAACTAATAACGATATCTATTTCAATGCTATGCTGATGAATTTTTAATATGCAAAGGCTTTCAAAGCCGAAGTCCACAACAGAGGGAAGGAACGGCGAATCAAATAATGCATTAGGTCTCTACGTCACAGATTATGCTATTAATTTTTACTTTTGGAGAAGAGAAATGTGTAATATAACAATTAAACAGTTGGTTCGCTATATAATATCGAATAATAAATTATTCGGAATGCCATAATATTATTCACACACCTACATTAATTTAGGTTACTATATGATGATTTAAAAAGACTCAAAAACACCATAAATAACATTTCCATTTCAGCGGAGATGTGAGGCGAATAGATGTCGGAACAAAGTGATGAAAACTTAGCTTCGATGCCATTTTCCTAAAATAAATGGTGCTTGTAAATAACTTCGACTACTAATATTGACCCACTTAATTTGTTTTGCACTTGATCATGTCAAATTTCATTTCGGTTCCGAGGCTGTTGTGTTAGGCTTCTTTTTTTTTCTTTTTTTTTGTGTGTGTTAGGTCATATCGACCTAAATAACTGCTTGAACGGACCAAGAAGATTTCCGAAAAGATATCTAAAATAAATATAAAACGAGTTAAAAACTTATTTCATATATTAATGAACCCTCTATTCATTAACAATTTCAAAAAGTCAGCTTTCTTATAATCTTGGTATGGTAAAAAATTATTTTTATCGTATGCCAGTTATTGTAAACACTGTGAAATTGCTTGCTTTGTTTTTCAAACTGAAACAAAGATACAATTTAGTTTTATAAAATAAAATATCTGTTTAAAAAAACGTAGGAAGACACAAAATCACTAATTATAATCTAGAAGAAAACTAAGCATTTTAAATTGTTACTTAAAACATATCATAATGAAATTTAGACAAATATCACATATAAAATAAATATGCTTTGTTACTGAAGCTACATAATGTGCCAAAAGTAATTCTGAAGTTTCAAATCATTTCATCAGTGCTTTTTATTTGTTTGTTTCTTAACCGTGGTGAATAGAACAAATGTAGCCATTCTGTAGCTTTACACTAAAAAATCAAACAAACCAGTTGTGATTACAATTATACTTCTCATAAGACATTCGTATTAGGCTTATTACATTTTAAACACTACGTTCTTTATCTAGTTCCTCAGGTGTTTTCAAGAATTAGAAGAGTGTATAATAATATTATTCCAACCACGTTATATTTGTCATATCCATTACCGACGACGCGTTTCGCTCAATCCAAAGCTATTCGAACCGGCTGGGAGATAACAAACACAGCAGTGGTCGGAAAACTATTTATATATAAGCTATTTGATACAACAAAATTTGTTTTAACTAGAGAACACGTTTTTTTTTTTATTTTGCAAATGTTTTGACTCGAATATAAAGCAAAAGCACTGTCATTATTATCTTTGTTGTTATAAAGTTCAAACACATTATTACAAAGTACTCATATCATATGATCATTTTACACACGTATATCAGCGATGAAACACTTCCATTACTCCTGGAAATAAAATATGAAACATAATGTCATACAGTCAATGAATACTTGTTGTCAGTCGTCATCAGGATCATTGTCTATGACATCTTCCACCTGCCTGACATCTGCACTATCATCAACGTTATTATTGCCTGACTGGTTGCTATATGTTTGCAATTTGCACAAGTTCATACATATAAGACAATTGATGGAGCATGCACATGACTCATAAGACTTAGTCCCTTTGCAAACAATAGCTTCAGTCTTTTCTGAAATCTGTCTTCTTACCAATCAATTCACTTTTCCAGCCATAAACAGATGTATCTGAGATGTCTGGTGAATTTTGAAGCAATGTTCGTAGAGACAGTCAGCACAAAGAGGTGTTTGGTGAGGTCAACTTCCCGTTTCTTTGCACAGTTCATTGGTATCAACTGTGCCAGGCTATGAGCTGTACATCAGACATGTAAATAGTTGGAGGTTCACGTAGTCTTAAAATGATAAATACCAGTGATGTCTAAATGTATCCTGATGTGTCTTGTCTGATTTCAAGAGGTTCGGAGCAGTTACATTGCCACGACTTCCAAAGGCATTAGCAATAGAACTTAGTGGTATGATATCAGGCCCCAGATTTAGTATGCTGGTACCAGAAATTGTACTCTCAGTGTCTTCCTAAGTTCCTAGAGAATACAGAGATGACTAAAGTCACGTAGTTATTCATTGCATGTGTTATGTTATTTTTAAATAACCATTATCTAATCAGTTTACATTCAATATTATGGCATAAAACTTTTTGTACAGTAATACTAAAAGAAGAATGGTGGCCACATCAGCGGATTGTGAACGTATGAAATAAAAATTATGGAATGTAGATTATACGTGTAATAATAACTTGGAAAGTGCTTATAATACAAGGGGGGGGGTGTATAAAATACACGTATAATACGCACCGGGTAGTGCTTATAATATATCACACAGAAAAGTCGTGATAAGCAAAATCATTTTTGTTTTGTTTATTGAAAATATCAGTTCTAGCTTTGAGTGTTCTTATTATCATCTTGCAAACTTTTATTCCAGTTATCACTTAACTGCCAGTATCTAAATTTGATGATGTAGTGTTTCATTCATTTCTTTAAAAACTTTGTCTCAATTACTTCTTTAACATAACGTTGTAGTCAAGCGTGTGCTGATCACAGCTTCTACGCTGTCGCGTTACCAACAACCCGAAGTCATCATTTCTTGTTTATTATTTGTTGCTGATTTGTGCATGATTAATTAATTTTCGCATCTTTTCTTCCCGATACGTGTCTTTTCTGAAACAAGTTACTTAAATGCGCATGTGTTGGAAAGACGCAAATACCACTGCTACTGACCTTTAACGTTTGTTATATCGCACAGTACTGAGTTGAACACTGAGTGACAATCACGTGGAAACCAGCTGCCTCACAGAAGGTAGAAGAAAATTCCTATTGATTCTCCATCTTTTGCTTTTCCTAGTTACACTATTAGGTACTTTATTTTCCAGCAGTTTCCTTCCCTCTGAACGGTTTTTCGGTGGGTTTGTTTACACAATGGGCTATTTGTACTATGCCCACTACTAGTATCGAAACCCAGCTTTTAGCGTTATAAGCCTTTAAACTTATCGATGAGCTGCTGGTGGGTCGGCGGTAAGTATAGGGACTTACAACGCCAACATGCTGGGTTCGATCTCCCTTAGTTAAATGTGGTTAGTGATAGTGTTATACTTTGGAAAAATAGAATAACCTACACACATATGCAGTTAAAATTGTTTTAATTAAGATAGAAGCTATACGTTTTACATAACATAGCTTCATGAGTTATTTTTTGAAATTAAACTAAGAAATTAGCATCTGAACTGGTCTGACTATAGTTATTGGTAGTCTGGAAACTACTGTTTATTGACCTTGCATTATTACTTGGTGTTAGTTTCAGTTTGTATTAAAAAACTTGCAGATCAACTAATTGGATTGTGATTCTTATATTAGAAGAAATGCACATTAGCTTGCTCTAAAACTAAGGTGCCTGAGAGTTTTCAGCTTAAAAGTGGTTAGAACATTTGCGATTTCTGATAGACAAAAAGAGGTCATCTTGTAACAAGTAGTCATAATGACATGAAGTTTGAATTAGCTCATACAAAATTTAATTAGTTTGTTTGAATTTCGCACAAAGCTACACGAGGGTTACCTGCGCTAGCCATCCCTAATTTAGCATCTAATCAACACTACCTACCGCCCACTTTTGGGCTACTCTTTTACCAACGAATAGTAGGATTGACCGTCAACGTCCCCATGGCTGCTTGGGCAAGCATGTTCGATGACGAGGATTCGAACCCGCGACCTTTAGATTGCGAGTCGAACGCCTTAACCACCAGGCCTTCGAATTTCAATTAACATCCAACTTTATGAGTTTCATGTGACTTAAGTTGGCCAACCGATGTTTTGTTTACGTGATAATATTTTTTTGAGTATAAGTAACCAGCCATGCTGAAAACTGAGATCTGACTAAAACAAGATGGAAACCTCAATAGCCGCGACTCTAATTAGCTCTCAAATTGGTCAAAAGATAGATTTATGAGCTAAAGTTTGTACTTGAAAAATAAACTCAGAACCATTCTATGAGCCACTATGCCGCGGCAAAAAATACTGGATTGAATTTTCTGACACGTAATTTTCATCATTAATTTCTGTACAAGTTTGTATATTTATTGCAGTTATGATACTCGATTTTTGTAGTTTAATCAAAACAATGTCAAAGCACGATATGCATTTTTTATACATATTATTAATTTAAAATTCTTTCTTTTAGCTAAATCTGAAGAACTGGTGCCTCTCCTGCAAGAACGTGATGCTATGTTGGATGAAATTGAAGCTAGAAATGTCTCTATTGAACAACTCTTAAAGCTAACGGGGACTAGCAAGATATAATATTTTTGGTTGCTTTAAATGTGACAACTTTCGACAACACGTTCAATTTAACTCAATGCGAATGATAATTTGTGTATCATTTATTATTCGAGGCGACCTTGGGGCATCTTGTTAGTTTTTTCTTATTACCACAAATCAGTGTCAACTTATGTAAAAACAGGACTATGCAAATCATCTGGTAAACTTCGTTTTTTTTATTATTATTTAGAATGAAGATGTGATTTTTGCGTAACTAATCCATCTAGATTCACAACAAAAATGACACCTTCAAACCTCTCTAGTAGTTTGATGATCAAAGAAGTTATCACTGTTTTCCAACATTTAAATAATAGTATTAAATTTATTGGTGTTACTTGATGAATCCTGGGCTCTCGCTTTTGACGTAAATATCTTGAGGTTTCCATTGATGTAACTTTAATATTACGTTATTTACTATAAATTTGTAGAATCTAACGTGTACCATTTCAGAAAAAGTAACTCACAGGAAACCTTTAATGTTGAAACCAAAGGATTTTAAATTTGTTGTATACGTTTTTATGGTAACTGTGTTATCATTTATGCGTTCTGGTAATATTTGTACAAGAAACAAGCCTGTTTTACCATAGAAGTCTATTATACACCATGTGTATATATCTTCATAAATATCTGTAAATATATTATGACGATTATAAAAACACTACATGTCAAATAGCAACACGTGCCAAGTGCTTTATATTTTATAAATATCAATGGAATTTTCAGTTCGACCGTATCGATAACACAATAAAGAGTTTGTTCGTAAAAGAAACATGTGCTTCAACTAAAGTAAAATGTAACACGTGAATCGATTGCAACAAACTTATTCAAGATAAATTAATTAAAGTTATTTAAAATATTTTTCTGCAAGATGTACTGATATAGCAAACGCATTTTTCCAAATGTAAAGCCGGAAACAGAATTTGCTTCTTTAACAATTTCAAGGGACTTCATCCAAGTCCTAATATCTTGAGGCAGTGTTTCAGCAACTAAAGGAATTTTTTGCCCCTTTATAATGTTTTTATACATAAGTTTCGAAAAATATCTTGTTTCAATATTTAGCATTAATATACAACGAGGGATGAGTGTGAAGAAAAAAAAAATCCAAAATATATTGAGCTCAATTCTGGGTACCAAAGGTATGTTTTAGTTTGTTTGTTGATAAACACAAGTCTACACATTGGCCCGTATTTTACCCGTCGCTGTATCAAAACTCGATTATGTTTCAAGCGTATAAATTTCTCAAACATACCGTTGAGTCACCGGGGGACGGGTGTCCCCCGGAAACTTTTTCAAATTAGAAGCTTTCTGACGCATTATCCTCCGATTTATTTATTTAATATATGATGTCCTAATGTCTTACACTAAGTTAGCTAAATGTTGTCATTTGGTAATCACATGTGGTTTTTGGTAGTTAATGTGTCAAAATTGTACGTGAATCCAATGATGCATAGTTTATAAGTTCGTTGATTATCGTGGATAACGCTTTTCTTGGTAAATCAACCATTGATGAATTCTCCCAGTTTTGACTTCACCATTTAGTTTACTCCCAACACCAATGCTCATTTCTAGTTCTTTCTCCAACCAGTCCCACTTAAATGTGTCTTTAAGTAAACTATCAACTTTTCTGGCCCTAGTTTTATCATGACGCTCGAGAACTTTGCCTTAAAAAAATCATCCTATCTTTAGATTAAACTAAGTGTTAATTTTTCCATGAATTTTTCGCGAAAAAATAATAATATAGAAAACAAAACATGACATAAAAACGCCCTTTTAGAAAATCGAGAAACGTAAATTCTTATTGGGCAAACGTGTCGAAATGTAAGCATAGTTAGGACTGGATCATGGTGGCGTTTATTTAGGATAGGTCAACCACGAGTGTTCTACAGGAACGATAAAATGCGTTTGTAGTTAAGCACAAAGCTACACAATGGGCTGTCTGTAATATGCCGACCACGGGTATCGAAACTCGGTTTTTAGTGTTAAAACAGGTAATAAAGTATTACCCAAATTGCTTTTAGTTTATCTTATCACATCAGTTCTTTGGACAGGCAACCCTAAATTTTACCAATCCACATTAAAGACAAATGCCCTTTACCACTCTTCCTCAAAAATCGATAATAGAGCAGTAGATAAAATACACAGCGTTTTAAATATTGATAACCGTATCACCAAATGAACTTGAAATTTGTCATTTGATGTGGCGAATTTGTATTTACTCGAAATCACCAAGCTGCAATCGTGATATACTTTAGTTAAGCCTATGTTATGTGTGACGCAATAAAAATACAACAAATATATTTTTTACGGTCTTGCAATCATTCAAAGATGAATTTCATATGTCATCATTTAACCATTTTTAAAAGTCACATCTCTTGGCTAACGCTCGCTAATATTACTTTTACTTGTAGAAATAAATCTCAAGCATAAAGTTTAATAGCGCCTCTTTTGTCACTATAATTTTGTTTTCACGCATGTGAATAAAAACAAAAAAAACATTACGTTTAATGAACGAAGTGTTTTGTTTTTTGTTAATCGCAAAGCCACACAACAGTGTTATCTGTGCCGTACCCACTACGGGTATCGAAATCCTGTTTTTAGCTATTCACCTAGTGGGCACAACACAGACAGCCCATCGTGTAGCTTTGTACTTGACATCGTAACTTAAAGATATATAATTTCAAACTATCCTGATCACATTTTCAGAACGTTTTGTTTCATTATTGAATTAACATACAACTACTTCAGTACTTTACCAAAAATATTAAGATTTTAAAAATTATTACGCGAGTTAAAATTTTAAGCTGTATTTAAAGTTTATACGCTCTTCAAGTAATGGTAATTGTAGTAATTTCGAAGAGATTATCTAACGTCTTATGTGACGTAAAGTTATCACTAAGGTTACTATTAAATGTACCTATAGTTCAATCAAATTTTAATTATGCTATTTTCATTTTTCAAGCATTTCTGATTGATAAAAACCTGGATATATAAATATGAGCCGGTAACAGTCTTTCAGTCCGAGGAACTAACTAACGTTGCGTATTTGATTTTCATTCTTGGAGGAATGTTATAGTAAAATACCGATATTTTTCGGTTAAAGCGACACTAATACTCCCTACACACCCACCTAAAAAGAAAAACCAAAGGTTTTGCACACATACATATATATATATATATATATGTATAGACACACACACCTGTACGTTCAGATATTACAACCATACGTATTTTCACAAGATAATTTCCAAATATTAATATTCAATTGAGCGTTGTTCCGGAAGGTGGAACACGAATGTAATCCTGAACGTCATCCAACATAAAATGTCGAGGAAATTGTTCATATAACCTCACTTTGAACATTTTTTTATACTAAATTCTACTTTCCAGTAATATTTTAAAAACAATATTAAATGTTCTAGTAACTTTTACAATGCAAAAAAATAAGTGAAATTTGTTCTTAATTTTATTCAATTAATTAAATAATAACTGTACCTGTTTTCAAGCATTTTTTTTTATAAGCTGTAGTGTTAAAAAGGTAGTCAATCAAAAAGTTATTCTATGTTTGAAATCAGTTACGTAAAATTTGATGTAAATCTTTGATGTACTATAATTTTTTCTTTATCAAGAATGAACAATTCATTCTTTTTTTTATGGAAAGAAATAAACCTTTTGATGTGATTATTTTATATAAACTGATGTTTATCCATACGCTATTAATAGGCCTAACGTGACAGGGAAACCTTACTGTTAATAAAACTTCTATAAGTTTGTTTAGAGCATTTTATTGTGAAAAAGATAAAATAAGTTATATTGAACTAAAAGCCATTACAAGTTGTGCTTCATCCATATGAAAGGCTATACAAAATTTCCTTAAAACAAATTAAAAACTATTTAGGAAATACATACTTTTAATTGTTTTTATTATACCACATTGTGATATTTTTAATAAATATACTTGATAACGTGCAATTTCTAATAACAAATTAACTCAAATTAAGAAACAGATATAACTTACAAAACCAAAAGTAGAATAATAATTGAATGTTTTTAATCTAGCTGGAAAGTCAAACCATTTTTTTTTTTTATGAAAGAGTACAAAATAGATAGTAAGTGAAAATTGTAAAGAGCTAATCAAGATTATCAAAATAATATCTGAAATACTTTAACTTAGTGTCTTCCTTCCCTTGATCTTATTCTTTTATCATAACATGTTATCTTAGATAATTTAATATTTCTTACACAGCTATGTTTGAACCTTGCCAGAATAAAATTAATTTTCAAATTACATCACTGCCTGCTCAGTGTGCTTGGAATTACAATTTCTACCATAATTTCAAAGTCAAAAGTTAATTTTCAGACATACAAATACAACCAGTGTTGGAAAGTTCACTAGTTTCATTTTGATCAGATTTGTTAACATTAAATAACACAACAATAAATATAACTCCTGGAAATGTAACCATGTTAAATAAATAGGCTATATTCTTTAAAAGTAATTTAAGTTTAAAATATCACAAATCCTCATTTTAGATGAACAGAGGGATGTGTCAGAAAATAAATTTATTCAATTATATCAAGAAGACTAGACAAAAGCTACTGTGCTGACTCTTGTGAATCCCAGTGCATTATTTCATACCAATACATATATTAATTTTTTTTATTTTGTGTACGACACAGAAGTGTATGAAATGTAGATTCCTATTATTTAGAATGAAGACATGAAATACATGAATTGTTTCAGAAAATTAGCTTCCAAACTTCTTTTTTACCATTATATTTATTAAATATAAATCTATATTGGTGCAAAATATTTGACACAGAAAATATTGAGTTGAGTTGAAATGTTAAATAGTATACGAAGTACCAATATTAATCTCTTATGTACTATTCAATTTTTGGAAACAGCTACAAATATGAAAGATACATGCACAAAAATGCTGTATGTTTTTTGTTTGTTTTTTTTCCAATGGAAGATGAACATTAGATATATTTCTAAACTTAAAAATCTATATAGTTTATATTTCTGAGAAGTCAAACATGAAAAATCAGTTTGATAAAAATTCCTAAATAAGTCACACCATAGTCTATAAAACTTATTACAAAAACTTGCGGTATTAAAGTCAAACATCAGAAAATATTTGAAGATGGTAGGCAGTTAAACACATAAATTAAAACAGTTTCAGCAATTGAAAAGTTGTGTGAAAAGTATACAACAACCACAAATAATAACTGACCACTAAGTTAATATAAAAGCTTAAGCTCCTTCCTCCAATATTCCACTTCACAACTCAAAATTTTGATTGGATACAGACCTGAACCAGCAGATGGAAACCTTGCCCATAACCAATTAGGTAGATACAGTTCATAAAAGTTTCCTATCCAGTATATATTGGTTGTTAAATCTCTGTGGGATAATGTTTGTCATCAATAAACCACAATCTTCCTTATCATAATGCTGACCTAATAAAATATTTAACTTCCTAAAATCAAATCAGTAGAATATGAATGAATAAGCAAAAGTGGTTTGAAACTCTTTAACAGTATTTTACCTTATTTCCATTATTTAGTTTGAACACTAAGTGAAATCTCAAGTAAACAAAAATCGCTCAACTGTAACTGTTGCTGAAAAGCAACAGTGATACATTTTTTCTTATGTTTTGACTCTCTTACTAATGACAAACATTATAATAATATATATAAACATAAGATTTAAAATTAAATTGTTGGGGGAGAAAAAATCATTATTTTCATATCTCTCAAAATGATCCATTTTAATATATGGAGAATAAACTAGAAAAGTATAAATCCATTTCATTAATTTATAAAAAAACTCAAAACCAAAACTAGTGTAACTTGAGTACTCATATCATATTCAGTATAAATCCCTTTCATTAATTTTAAAAAACTCAAACCCAAACTAGTTTTTAATGAAAGGGATTTATATTGAATATGATGTGAGTAAAAGACTCAAAACCAAAACTAGTGTAACTTATGTACTGACATCATATTCAGTATAAATCCCTTTCATTAATTTAAAAGACTCAAAACCAAAACTAGTGTAACTTGAACTTTGATTTGTGTACTCGCATCATTTTCAGATGCTGTGTATAAAAGATGTAATCTCACTAAAATTATTTATTAATAATATGTCACATGTAATTCCCATACAAACTGAATGTTAACAAACAAATTATACACAATAATAAGTAAAGTTAATACTCATACTTATAAATCTTATGATCTTTATACAAGAGCTCAAAATATCATCTCAACCCCACAAATCTTCTGTTCGACCAAATTTGAATGCCAAAGACCTGGTTAATAAAAAGAAAAACGATTAGCTCAACCAAAGTGGTTAATAGCATTTAAAAAATCAACATAAAATGGAAACTGTAGACTAAAAATAATATACTTAAAGTAAATAATGTAAACAAACATATCCGACAAAAATTCCTTAAAACACTGAACTGTAATAACAAAAGGCAATTCTGTCAGTCTTTTAAATAATGTAAATATTTAGAATATGAACAAAAGTGTATACAAATTAAAAAATAATAATTCAGATTACTTTGTTACAAGTTTCAGCTTTTACAGTGAGGAAGTTTCAGTTTTAGAACAGGTATGATATTTCAATCACTGGTACAATCATTCTCCAGTACACTTGTGTATTTTAGAGTGATCGAAACATTGTATCTGTTCTCAAACTAAATCTTCCTTACTGTAAAAGCTGTAACTTGTAATAAAATAATACTTAATCAGAACATACACTCAAAATGAAACAATTAAATAATTCAGATTATTCTGTTTTTCTTATATCTTAACATGTACACAATCTAGACATAACTCATAAAAAAATTAATTTCAAAATGTCAAAATACATCAAGTTGATCTAACTCTTGGAAATTGATAATTGTACAATAAATTGTCAGTTATAAAGTGTATATACAAATTGGGGAAAAAGAAAAAATCTGCTAGATAATTAAGAAACAATTTAGGCTTAATAAAAGAAATATAAGTCCTAAACACAGTGTAAAGACCTTTATTTTATTCTAAATTTTCTTTTATAAAACTTCATATCAATTAGAAAAAGACACTGGACATGAACAGTGTACATCTTCAAAAGTGACAAAACATACAGGTTTTTGATATACCACTATAACTCTCTCTCCAGCCTAATAAATAACTATATCACCCTTTTTTTTTAAATTCATTTAAAAATAACTAATACATGGAATAAAATGTTTACTTTACTTAAAAAAAGGAACAATAATACCAAATATTAGCAGCTTAGAACAGTTATATATTAACTTATTTAACAAAATATACAAGATTTATAAAACAAAAGGTTATTTATACTTAGAATTGTTTCACCTGGGAAACTTTTACAATAGTATATACCTGTTTTGGTGTTCCACAACAAACATAAAAAAGTAGCTATAAGTTTCCAAAGTTACATTCAAGTATAATGCAAAACCGTGAAACTCCACAATTGATTGTTAAACCTGAGGAGCAGTTTTAAAATACACAGCAAAAGAATAATGAACCATTAACTTTTACTGAAGCAGCATCATTATGTAGAGAAAACATGATTCAGCATAGGAAACTGAATAAACTTTAAATGTTATTTTTGAAACTTTATATTTAAGAAACTTTGATTAAAAAAACTAAATCTTGAAATATCATAAAATACTTGAAAAAAGAGAACATTTTATATTTACTTTTCTTTAGATTTAAAACAGGAACATCTAGCTAGGTTATCACCTGTATTAATAAAAGCTTTATACTTACCCCATGAAGATAAAGGCATTTTGAAGAAATACTGCAACTCCAGGCCATTGATGATATTTCACTGTATAGAATCAGAGTATTTGCTTAAATAAACTATAAATAATGATCTAATGTGGCCTTCAGGCTTTGTGGTTCAATTCTTATCACCATTTTTTTAAACATTTTGTATTAATAGTACACTTATTAACCCATTGTGCACAGGCTTGGAAAAGTAATGTCGACTAAAGTTCCAAAATTACTATATATTTATCTTCATGAAATGTTGCAAGCTTTTAGTAAAACGTACAAGTCTGTTGTACAGAAAATATCCGATATGTTAAAGTATTTTTCACTCAAAGTATCTGTGAATTGAATGTCCATGTGAAGAATAAAACTACTTTTTCCTATCATACAGTTTGCACATTACATTAGGGAAGGCTCAAGAACCTATGAAATGCATATTTACACATTTTTTTCAGTATCCCTGTATACTGTATCTGGTATTTACTCTCCTTCTACAACAAGATGCCATTAAATCAGCAATGTAGGGTTAAATGAACAGTTGATAACTCTGACATCAAATATGCAATACCATGTTGAATGGTACTCTGTAAAAGGTCATGAAATGCACACTTGAATTCCAGCTGTGCACATAGGGTTAAAGCTTGAAATAAAAATGTTTTCCACTTATGAAAACTGCAAACTCAAACACAAGGAAAAATTTGAAACATCCACACCATTGTTTTTCAAAACTAAATGAATGTGTTTTAATACTCATCTGTCTTAAAACTTTCTGAACATTATTATTATACATTTAAAACATTCCTTACCACACACAGTCACCGAGAATAAAAGTATTACTGATATTTGTACTCTCCTGAGTTAATATTTTCCCAAACCATAGCTTTCTTAGATGTTTGGTTGGTTGATTGGTGTTTTATGGCACAAAGCAGCAAGGCTATCTGCGCCAAACAACCGGTAAAAACAAAGAAAGGAAATTAATGTAAAATGTCAAAATACAGCGAGTTAAAACCAATACATGTCGATAAAAGATTTACACTGAATTAAAAATACCTATAGTGTGTAAAAAATTAAAAATACAATCTAATCGGACAGTGTCGCCATTACCAATGACACTGTCCAGCGTCAGGGGTAAACTTTTAGATAAAATGTGTCTAAAATGATGCCGCTGCTCACGGTTGTAACGACGGCATGACAGTAAAATGTGGGCTATTGTGACTTGAGTGTCACAATGGCTACACATCGGTGGGTCAATACCCGATAAAAGAAAACAATGGGTTAAAAAACTATGACCAATGCGTAGTCTTGGCAGAACTACTTCTTCCTTCCGATCCTTACGGAAGCAAAACGGCCTAAGGCCAACAGAAGGTTTGATCTGGAAAAGCTTATTATGGCGTTGCTCACTTCCAAGTCGACTGCCAACTGGCACGAAGCCGCGCCTTGAAGACAGGACCGTAGTCCATGTATGGGACAGGCACGGCCGTGATGGCACCAGAGCAGACGGACTTAGCTGCGGTGTCAGCGAGCTCTTTCCCGTGAATACCAACGTGGCCAGTGATCCAGAAAAACTGGATGGAAATAGAAGATAGCGAAAAAGTGGGCCAATCGGAACCCACACAGACTTGGAATCG